TTGACCAGTGGGATGATGATGGACTGACGCCAGCAATCGGGGATGATTGAACTAGCCAGCGAAAGGTTAAAATGGCAGCCAGGGAGGCAGCCACCTTAGGGCCGATATGGCGCAAATGGATAGGTGCCAGACCATCTGGTACTAAGGCTTTCAAGGCTTTTGTTTTCTTAACGGCAGTGAAGATAGCATCGGCTGAGAAGTAAAAGTCCGGAGGCGGGGCTTTATGGAGGAGGCGAAGCAGGGAGGGCTGACTTTTGGCACTGGACAACGAGCGGGGCGGGAATGGTTTGTTCATCTTCGCGGCAATCTTACCGTTGCTCGAAATGAAGATGCCGTCCCCTAAGCTAATAGGCTGATTAGGTGTGTCAGCTCGAGGCTTGCTGTGGAAATTTCAATCTGCAACTTGTTCATGCCAGTGATGGCAAACGACAAACGTCATCGTTGATGGTCTTGGTGGTCAAGCCGTTGAGTTCGCCGACGCACGGGTCGTTGTGGAAATCGGTCGCATTTACTGGCAAATGTTTTGTTTTTTCCTAATGAAACTGCCTGGATTGAGTCAACTCAATGAGTTCCTACAGTAGTTACTAATGTTTTCTTGGTACCTACAGGAATCTTTAACACTACTTCATGTGTTTTCGGAATAGATAGCACCCAATGAGGTTCCATGTGAGCATTTCAACATCTCAGAATTTGTTTCTGTTTAATTTTCTCAGAAATTAATCACTAATTAGGAGGAAATTAGTCTATTTGAAAATGTATAGGCGTGCCCTGAAAGTTGATATGAGAAACTTAAAAAGTAGCAATTTATGAACTGGAGTATCTACCAGAAAGCCAGCAGGAAACTCTGGGGGATCCACTGATGAATCGGAGTACTTGCATCTGTGTCGACCACCGGCAAAACACCGGCGATTCACTATCTGGGCTTTTAGTTAGTGCCTTTTCTATCAGTATGGTGTATCTTGTGACGCCTATAGTTCAGCATTTGTTGGCTTTGACGTTTTTGGGATTATTATAATTAGTTGTGCATTTAACTCTGTCATCACTATCATCTACTCGCCTTAAGTGATACGCTACGTAGTATTAACTTTCAAGTCTGCACAAGTGGCCCTTAACCAGAAAGACTTGGAGGGTCTATGGAATGTGTTTTCACCTGTGCGTGAAGAGTCATGCCTTCTGATCGTGATTCGCTACCGAAGGAGAACTCCTTTTATTATCTTGACCACTGTCTTCAGTTTCAGCACAGTCTGTAACTTGACTGCAAATGAAAGCTCGCGGTGCATTCGTGCGTGAGCACGTGCAATTTTGTGTGCAGCATTTGTTGTTTACACGGGGCCCACTAATTCGTTTAATGCACTGTTCAAATTTTTTGCCACTTCTGATGTTTCCTCACCTTCCACACGTCTAGATGAATTTCGGACCGCCAATAACGAGCTCTGAGTTGAAGCACTGCGGCCGCTTCTGTTTCAATGAGGGCGTTTGTATGGGCTGCTACCGTGACGTCTATGGTCTAGCCCAGTGCATCGGCTGTGTATGTCCCACCAACTTGTGGACCGGGGAGCGCTGTCAACTGAGGATTGGTACCGCTGGAAGTGTAGAAGCGCCCGTTGCCTCAGTTGTGCTGGTTTGGCTGTTCGCCGTGCTGGCGCTTCTACTTGCTGGGATCCTTATCTTTGTCTACGCCCGTCAGAAGCGCACTGCTTTGTTCAACCTCAGAATGTCTCAACTACATGAGCAGTCGCTTGATGATCCTGAACCCATTCCAATGCCGAGTTCACCATTCCCTTCGCAAACACCGGCCAGCACATAATTGACGCCGTGGACACCATCATCTGCTTTCAGTCGGATTGTTACTTACTTCAATCAAGTACCTTACCTCATCATACTATGATACATCTTTTGATTAAAAGTGATTTTTACGACTTGCTTCTACGCTCCCACGTTTTCATTTTCTGCGGCGGGAGAAAACCTTCCACTTAGTATTTGCCCGATGTTTAGTCTTGTACGTTTCCAAGGGAACCATGTATGAATTAGGGAAAAGGTTTAGGCCACCGCAGGACGAGTAATCAGGTTGCCTGTTACTTAAATATGTCGTACACATTGGGTACTTGCGATAATGGTAGCATACTAGCGTATAAAATTAACCACTCAAACAAAGAGCTAAACAGACCGTAAGGGCAGTGTCATGGAACCAAATAAGTGTCCAAAGATCGTGACTTCCGGTTAATTCGTGGCCCCATTCGTCAGTTACTTTCTCGAAAATTAAGAAAATTGAAGCCAAACGTAGGTAAGATGTTTGAATCATTGCCGACAATCGTTTCGTGCAAGCTATCCTGGACCATCTTGAGGCCGTCTCAGGTTTCTTTTCACATCTAAAGAGGCCTAAATTCTAGGTTTACTGGAAGGAAGCCTGGCAGCATGCTCGTCGTTACCGATGGGCTTCGTCGGGTGCCCCAAAACAATGATAGACGCAGGGACGGTGACCTAGCCGTAAAAATATTTCATATTGATACTGGACTTGCGCAGCACCTACAGCAATCTCTCTTCACAATCTCTATTCACCTGAGCCCCGTGTTACGATGGCATCAAGAAGACCGAAGCTGGGATTGGGCGCAGTGGCTGGAAAGCTAAATATCCCATCAACGCGTGCCACGCACACGCTGGTATGCGCACAATTGATCATTAATTTACACAAAAAGTATGTGGGTGGCGACTGGGATCCCAACGGAGTGGGAGCACTGTGCGTTAAGAGAGAACCTTCTACGTCCTAAGGGGGAAGATTGCAGCCTGACTCTCCGACCTAGGAGAAGGGAAGAGTTATTCTGTTAGGTGGCAGCATTCCAGGCTGCTATTTTTGGCGCCCATTCCTGAATAAATAGATGGCCGATCTGTAGGGACGAAGAATGGTAGGTGGCGAGACATTAATGAACTTCGATTCGAGGAAGTGTTTATCTGCCTGTTCGTGACCCTTACCACTCATAGGGCATGTTTTACTTTGGAAAGCCAATTGGATCGGTGCGTGCCCATTTCTGAGTGAATAAATGCATGAGTGAGTGAGCTCGAGTGAGAGCTCTAATGGCAAAATGGACGGACGAGTGGTTCCACTAACAGATCGGTGTAC